AACCACTTGCGAGCACGTTTGCTTCTGAACTCTCAAAAATGGTCCCAGGAGATTGGACACTTCCAGATGGTCTTATCCAGACTCTGCTGGCATTACCAAGTCAGTCTCTGAACTCAACCCAGCTACATGGTGGAGTTGAAGGCACCCATGGGAGGCATCCTGTGTGCACCCATCAATGGGCACGTGGTCTCTAAGAGTCAGAGGTGCTTCCCTCTCAGCTCCTTGTCATTGACTGTGTTAGGAGAAGCCAGAGGCCTGGGGATGCCATTCCTGGTCACGTGACAGCCACTTCCTGCTGTGACATCTTTCCGCACTGCCATCTTTTCATGGCTGCCTTGACTTGGTGGGTTCCTGCACCTCCCGGCTTGTGTGTGGAGAGGGAGGATAGCAGAAGGAGGAGGCGTTGACTTTAGTCTCCAGAGGATTGGACTTGGGGCCCCACTCTGCTCTCAACTCAATATGACCTCTGGGTCAGTCACCAGTTCCTCCTGGGTCCCTGCGTCTCTGCTCCTCCTGGGTGCCTGGATCTCTGGTCCCTGGAGTACCTGAACCTCAGTTTATTGCTCACTGATTGACTTTTGCTAATAGCTCAAATCACCCACCAAAAAAGCGTGCACTTGCCTGCTTTTCCACGTTCAGCATTTTCGAGGTTGTTTCTGGGGGAATAGAGGCTGCTTTTGCAAAGGGGCAAGCACCACCAGACAAACCTATCATGCCTGGTGGGCTGCAACAGTGCCACGTGTAGGTCTCTCAACAGAGGTAGCTGCAGATCTCTGCTCCCGGGCTCCCCTGTCCACCTGAGCTGGCTAGGGACGCTTAGGACAGCAGCAGCCTAAGCTGGAGACACAGTCAGGCATTCATTCATTCATTCATTCATTCATTATCTTTGCATCATGCTTAACAGTATTGGGGGGTGGGGGTCCCATATGTGTGTCTGCTCAGGGCATCATATGGGGTGCTGAGGTCCATACTGGGTTTGACTGTTTACAGAACAAACGTGCTACCTTCCTTACCATCTTTGTTCCCAGACGCAGCACGAGACGGCAAGTCTCAGACTGCCTCTCCACACCCTAAGACTTGGTGTCTTTACCGGGCCCCACTTCCTCCTGAAAGGAGCCCAGAGAATCACTTGAGGCTGTCAGACTTTTCCTGAGACAAAGTGGGGTGACCGTGACTACTCTCATCATTATGCTTCCCTCCCCCCCTTCGTCAAAGTGGCTTCCTACTGGGGAGAATATCAAGTTCAAACTCTTTCCCAGGTTTGATGTTCCCCTTTCTATTTAATGCACTCTGCAGGTAGTCTAAGAGACCCCCTCTGTGCTCCAATACACCCAACCCCCAGACTCACACAGTCAAGACCCTGAGTCCTTGGAGGGTTTCAGGCTTTGCAGGACCCCCCCTGTGAATGGGCCCAGGACTCTGCCCTGTGTCACTTGAGCTTGAGTCTGCCCCCCCCCCCCCCGCCCCATACCCCAAACACCTATCAGTGAGGGCTCAGGGCCTGTATGCATCCCTTCAAGAGCCTGGGAGCAAGCACTGGGCAGGAGCTTGGAAGCCACAGCCCTGGGCTGTCAGTCTGGGCCTGTGGAGGCGGGCTCAGAGATCACAGCACACCCACTTCACCTACTTCCAGCCTCTCAGGAGGCGAGCAGTTCCCTGCCCCTACCCAGAGGCCACCCGAGGCCTAGCATGTGCCTTCATGGGGGTGGATCACGAGGATCCTCTGGAAGGCCAGAGGCTTGCCTGAGCCCAGTGGTCCCCTCTGATGTCTTGGACAGAATCACTGCAGCTGGGCCTGATCCCCTGGTTCACTCTGGCCCCTCCGACCTCTGGTCTCCTGGCACCCTGTCCCTTTGCTCTTGGGCACCAGCACTCCTGACAGTCCCAGCCTGGGTCTGCCGACTCCTCCCCAGGGCAGGTGTGTGGCTGGCTGTGACATCATGTCTTGGGTTGCTGAGACCCTGGGCATGTGTGTGTGTGTGTGTGTGTGTGTGTGTGTGTGTGTGTGTGTGTAGGGGAGGGGGCAGTGTCCAGACCTCAAGGAGCACTGTGCAGTTAGGAGGTGCCCCGGCCATATCTCTTCCATGTGAGGCTGATGCCACAGGTTATCTGTAGAGGAAGTTAGGCTCCATGATGGAGCCCTCCCCGCACCCGGTGACTCGGAGCCCTTAGTGCTGTGGGACACTCCCCCGTATATCCTTCCTCAGAGTCACCCATGACAGTGGCAGCTCCGGGTTCTGAGTCAACAGCAATGACATCCTGAAGGCAGGAGCGGGTCCGTGAGGCCTAAATCAGATCCTGTGCAAACACGGAGCATGGAGAAGGTTTCCCATGGGTGCTGTTGCTCACTGAGGATCTCACCTCCTGTGGCTCACACCGCACTGACCATCAGCTCAGTGACCTCAGCAGCGGAAACTGCCTTACCCTTTTGGGACCTGAGCTCAAGTGTTCCTCCGGACTCCAGTGAAGGACCATCCCCCGCTTCTTCCAGCTCTGTGACCACATCCCTCCAAGCTCATCCCTGTCTTCACCTGGGGGATCTCCTCTCTTAGGGGCGCCCTAATGCATGTCTCCTTTAAGGACACTGGTCATTGGCATTGGCGTCACCACCTGGAGTTACCGTGATCAACTCTGCCAAGACCCTTTCCCAATAGTCTCAATCACAGGTGTCCTGTGAGAGGGGTGGAAGGACACGCCCTTTGCTGAGTGACCTTGTGAACGTTCCTCAGCCTCCCTGAGCTCCCCATGGTCCATGCCACATCAGAGGCACTCTATAAATACACTCGCCTAATTGTGCAGGTTCCAAGCGTGAAAGCCAGGTTTCTCAGTCCCGCCTCCCTGGCGAGTCTCTCTCCGGGGTGGGGGAGGGCGTCTTATCTGTTCTCTGACCTGCCCTCCTTCTCTGCCTCTCATGCCTGTATTTTATTCTTATTTTTGGGGTGGGGGTGGTGGGGTATCCTTAGCAGCGCTCAGGAGACCGGAGGGGCCCTAGGTGACAGTTGACCCACCAGGCTGTGACTCGTCGTAGAAATCGGGTGCCTTTCAGACCCTGATGCTGGGGGTGACTGCAGGCCTCCCAGGTGGTGCTTTGGGACTTGGTGACTCCAGGGCTGCCTGGAGCGTTGCTGGGGAGGGGTGGGGGGAGAAGGCCAGGAATGAGGCTGGGGGCAACCATGGGGCAGGACCTTCACCCGCTGCTATTCCTCCAGCCTCTCACTTCTATTTTCTACTTAATTTCTCCCTGCACTGTGCCTTCCGTGTAGAAAGCACTTAATATGCATCTGAAGTAGGTCAGCTCCTGGGGCCAGATGGGTTCCACTCGAGTCCCTGGGACCTTCGGGGGAGCCAAACTGTCCTTTCCCAAACTATGGGCAGACTGGGCCCGAGTTCACTGAGCTGGCCTAGGGGGGCTAGTGGAGTGTCTCACCCCCAGATTCTTCAAATGGGAAGTTGATCTGGTGTGTTTCGCGAGCACAGCCCCAGAGCCTGCAGCTCCCATGGGTGGGAATAATCCAGCTCGGGGGAGAGGGGTCTTTGGCCTGCTCTGCCAGCTCTGTATCCTGTTCCCTCTGCCTTCTTCCCCCTAGATGATCCTGGCAGAAGCTCGCTCCCTGCCAGGCACTGCCTCGCCTTGCCCAGCCTCTCATGAGCTCAGACTGTGCCAAGTGGGGCCAGGACGCGCGATGGTGTGGCCTGGCACCAGCCCCATGCTGGTACTGGCAAGGCTGAGTCCTGGGAGAAAGGCCCATTGTTGGTGTGGGGTGGGGTGTGTGTGTGGGTGGGAGGGGTAGGGTCCGGGTGGCACAAGGCTGCTTTGGGTCAGGGTAGCTGCGTCCCACCTGGCTTTCTCCCTTTCTGCCTGAGATTCACCGATCAAGCCCCATTAACCCCAGCACTTTGTTTTCCTTATCTGCAAATGGGGGCAGCTGTGGGGGCTGGTGAGGACCCCAGAGAATGACTCTGAAGCAGGTTTGGGTCTCCTCTCCCCTGCCCTGATTCTCCAGGACTGGCCCTGATGATGAAAGTGGAAAAAAAGAAGGCATTTTTTTTTATTTTTGCCTTTTGGATCATACCTGGCGGTGCACAGGGGTTACTCCTGGCTCTGAGCTCAGGAATTATTCCTGGCGGTGCTCAGGGGACCATGTGGGATGCAGGGTATTGAACCCAGGTCGGCTGTGCCCAAGGCAAATGCCCTATCCGCTCAGGCACATTTCTTAAACCCTCCCTGAACCAGATACCATCCACCCACTTTCCTCCCTTCTTGAGTTTGTCCAGCGCCATGCAGAATTAGAACGGGGTCAGTCTTGGACATGTGACATGAGCGGTGGCAGCCAAGGAGGGGATGAATCCATGTGGATGCTCCCTGGTCCAAATGACAGAGCTGGGCCTCGGAGAGAGAACAGCTGGTGAGGCACTTGCCAGGATACAGCTAACCAGGGTTGAATCCTTGGTACTGAACACTTCGGGGAACAACCCTTGAGCACAGAGCTGGGAATGAGACTTGAGCACAGCTGGGTGCAGCCCCCAAACAAACAACAACAGCAAAAGAAAGAAAAAGAAAAGAAAAGCTAAACTCTGCTCTCACTGAGCCCCTCTGTCCAGCTCCACCCAGTAGGGACCCTGGTTCCCAGAGGGAAAATGCTGAGAAGGGAAGAAAGGGACAGAAAGGAAAGGGAAAACAGATAGGGACAGAAGGGAAAGGGAGGGAAGGAAGAGAAGGAAGGGAAGGAAGCTACTCTCTTCTGTCTCTCTCTCTCTCTCTTTCTCTCTCTCTCTCTCTGGCCCAAGTGAGCACACCTTACTCCATCCCATTTTGGGGGCTATTCATGCTTATTCACTCAGGGAACCAAACCTTGAAGGCAAAGGGGAAACTGAACTATTGGGAGGCTGTGTGGGGGTGGGGTGGGGAGGGAGAGCTGGGGAAAGGGGCTCCCTAAAGACCGTTCTTGGCACTCATTACCCCCATGCACTGGGTTTCATGTTTGCTCTCTCTTTCTCAGCTTCGTGACTGCCTCGTGACTGTCCAGACCCGAGCAGCATGACCCTTGCGGGTAGGTATAGGAGCTGCTGGTGGACACCAGCACTGTCCAGGTGGCCCTGGCCCCTCCAGACCCCCCAAGAAGACAAGACTGTGGGAACCACATGGAGGGGTGCAAGGAGGGCTATCGGGTGGTGGGTGGGATTCCAGCTGACTCTGGCTCGTGTGTGTGTGTGTGTGTGTGTGTCTGTGTGTGTGTGTGATACATCACACAGATGTTGTTTCTGTGATTGATTGTTTCCAATTTGGAAAAAAGGAGCAAAGGGACCTAGCACTGGAGGCAGCACTTTGGGGTCAGTGTTGAGTGGCTTGGGGAAGAGGCGGGATTGGGGTGACCATCCACCCCTCTGCTCCTCCAGGGACCTCTTGCTCTTTCAGTCCCAGCCCCCAACCACAGAGAGATCAGATTGCTGCTCTTGGGGACCCCGGAGGATGCCCAGTCAGAACATGCCCCAGAGTGAGGGGAGAGACCTGAGGGAAGGTGGAGGATGCCTTTCCTGGACCCCCTTCCTTCCCTTTAAGGGAAATATTGAAGGAAAAGGGTATAGGGAACAGGAGAGAGAGTTCAACAGCCTGGAGCACATGGTTTGCATGCAGGAGGTGCGAGTGTGACCCCCAGCACGGTTGTTGGTCCCCCAAGCACCAAGCTGGGAGTAGCCTCTAGGGTACCTCTGAGTGTCTCCCCCACCAAAAAACCAGACGCTTGTGAATTTCCTGTGTTGTGGAGTGAGAGAGATGGCAGGTGCAGGGTGCACAGAGCACTGGAGCTGGGGTGCCAGCTGGGGTGAAGGTGTGGGTGCTCCAGCCCCTTCCCCCAGGGCATTTGGCATCAACATTCCCAATGGACCCGCTGTGCTGGGGCGGCAGAGTGGCACTGGGAGGCTCAGACCAGATGGAGGACCTGGGAAATTCGGGTGAGTCGGGCCCTGGCTGGCCTCTGTGGCTCGGCCGTCACCGCCCCCGCCTCTGTCTCTGCAGCCTACAAGGAGAAGATGCGGGAGCTCCCGCTGGTGTCCCTGTTCTGCTCCTGCTTCTTGGCCGACCCCCCGAACCAGTCCTCCTACACGTACGAAGGTGAGTGCCAGCTGCAGCTTCCTGAGGCGGACCCTCCCGGGGCACTGCCCCTTCCCTGAAGTCGAGGACATTTGTGAAGTTCTGAGTCAGACTTGGGACATGTGCTTGGCTCCTGGTTTGATGGACAGGTGCTGGGGGGGGGGTGGGCAGTTCAGAGGTGGAGCAGAGACTGGCCCGGGGTGGTGGGGGGAACCCCAGGCTAGAGGGGATGAAAGGGCTCCCCAGGTTGGGAGAGTCCAGAGGTGTGAGGAGGATAGCGGTGCTGCCTGGACGTGTGACAGGGTCCTGGTCAGGATAGGAGGCTGGCTCCAGTGCCCTCTCCTACTTTGGCAGGACTCCAATGGAAAGAACCGGGTGTGGTCTGGAAATGGGGCGCTCGCTCGGCTGACCTGACTTTCTGTTTTCTCCGTGTAGGCTGGTGCGGGAGACAGTGTCGGAGGAAAGATCAGAGCCAGCGGAAGGAGAGTGCGGACTGGAGGGAGAGAAGAGAGCAGGGTAGGAGGGAGTGGGCCGAGGTGGAGCCCCCTCCACCCTGGGACACCCTGGACATACACCCAACCGGGGAGCTGCCGGGGTAGAAAGCAGATGGAGCGATAGCACAGCGGGTAGGGCATTTGCCTTGCACCAAGCTGACCCGGGTTTGATCTCCAGCATCCCATATGGTCCCCTGAGCACTGCAAGGAGTAATTCCTGAGTGCAGAGCCAGGAGGTACCCCTGTGCATCATCGGGTGTACCCAAAAAGAAAAAAAAAAGCAGATGATGCAGGCCATGGGTCAAACCCACATTCCCAGGCCCCCTCCCCCCAACTCTGAGACCCCTCCCCCCCTGGGCCCACCATGGCCTCCCCCCCCTTTGGTGCCACTTTCAGGATTGGCTCAGACCCGGGGTACCCCAGATTCCCCCCCACCCCCACCACTGGTGGGCATGCATGCTGGGTGCTCAGAGCTGTGCCAGGCTGAGCGGCCCCCTTATTTTCCACAGCTGACACGGTGGACTTGAACTGGTGTGTCATTTCTGACATGGAAGTCATTGAGCTCAACAAATGCACCTCGGGGCAGTCCTTCGAGGTCATCCTGAAGCCGCCCTCCTTCGACGGGGTGCCCGAATTCAATGCATCCCTGCCCCGGCGGCGAGACCCATCACTGGAAGAGATTCAGAAGAAACTGGAAGCCGCCGAGGAACGAAGGAAGGTGGGGACCCCCTGCCTCCCCATCTCAGCCTGGTGGGAATGGGCTGCAGGGCCTGAGCCCTGGGTTCAGCTCTTCTTCCACTTCCAAAGAGCTCAGTGCCCAAGAGGGGGTTCAGATACCCAGTGATGAGAGTGAGACATGGGCGTATGCTAAGACGCTGGGTTTATAACTGGAGGAGCCGAGAGCCTAACCCTCTTGGAGTGTCCACTGGGGAGGAAGTGCATCTGGGCCTCCGGTGGGTCTCAGACAGCAATGGGGGTGCTTCCTTGAGGCGGAGTCCCAGAGCATTCCGAGGATGATTCCCCAATCAGAGGAAAGGGGCGTGAGCCTAGCTTTGAGATTCTGTGGGGAATAGAGCTCACAGGGACCCACCTGAGATCTGCCATTGTCTCAGGGAGATTGGCCCTCAGATCTCCTAGAAATCCCAGGGATCCCAGGGAGGGGGTCCTGCAAGGCTGAGGTGGTCCAGCCAAGGACAGCCTGGCCCCATCCATGAATGGAATGTGTCTCCCTCCAGCAGCTTCTGAGACTACAGAGTTGGAACTCTGGTGTCATCTTTGAAGCATTTTTTTCATCTTAAAAAAAAGAAAGAAAGAAAGAATCCTTTTCTTCCTTTCCAGGGGTGGGGAGCCCTTTACCTGCCAGAGGACAGTTTATTTATAACAGTTTCCACAGTTTTCAGCAAGTCCAGGAGCTGGCTCCTTCCTTCCTTCCTTCCTTCCTTCCTTCCTTCCTTCCTTCCTTCCTTCCTTCCTTCTTCCTTCCTTCTTCTCTTTCTTTCTTTCTCTCTCTCTTTCTTTTCCTCTTTCTTTCTCTCCTTTTTCTCTTTCTCTCTCTCTTTCTTTCTTTCTTTCTTTCTTTCTTTCCTTCCTTCTTTCTTTTTCTGCTTTTGGTGTTATGCCTGGCAGTGCTCAGGGCTTACTTCTAACTCTGTGCTCAGAGATCACTCCTGGTAGGTTCAGGGAACTCTATGGGATGCCAGGGCTCAAACCTCCGTCGGCTATGTGCAGGGCAAGCGCCCTCCCTGCTGTAATATCTCTCTGGCCCCGATTTCATCCCTTTTATACCGGTAAACTGCAGGAGCGTATATTCCGTGGCGTGTGTCAGGTGCTCTTAGCACTGGATGCTCCACCCGCAACATACTCATCTCTAAGCATCCTTCTCCCTCTGTGTTTCTCCAGTACCAGGAAGCTGAGCTGCTGAAGCACCTGGCAGAGAAACGTGAACATGAGCGGGAGGTGATCCAAAAAGCCATCGAGGAAAACAACAACTTCATCAAGATGGCCAAGGAGAAACTGGCCCAGAAGATGGAGTCCAATAAGGAGAACCGAGAGGCACACCTGGCCGCCATGTTGGAGCGGCTGCAAGAGAAGGTGAGTGGTCTGGGTGTGTAGGGGGAGGGCAGACCACTGGGCCTCTCTCCCTGCATGGTGGTGAGTGGACCTACGGGGGCTGAGAATCCGGACTGGGCCTCTCTCCCTGCATGGCAAGTACTCATGGACATACACATTATTATTTCAGGGGAAAAGCAGGCTTGGGCAGGAAGGGGGCTGTTCCCTCTTAGACTGGATCTTTAGAGAGTTCCAAAGGGTGATGTGGGTAGTCAGGGGCAAGAAACGCAAATGCATCTTTGGGGACATGTTTCACAGCACCAGTGTCCCGAGGACGACGGCGTTCTTTGGCGTTAGGGATTAGATCTCTCGTCAGCAGCAGGAGGCCAGCCGAGGGCAAGGGTGGAGGGGCCACACTGTGCCCATCGCTGGCTTGAATGCACCGACTCAATTTAATCCAAGAAGCCACGCCTGATTCTGCTTCCATTCCATCTACTGGGACTCTTGGCTTCCTGCCCACAGGCCACCAGGAGCCTGGGGGCGTGATTTTCCCCCAATTCTTGAGGAGGAGCCTGTGACCCTGGGTCTGTTTAAGGTACAGCCCTTTGTCAATAAGCCCCCACGGTGTCACCTCGACCTGAGAAAAGCGAGAGGCCGGGGGTTGTGTGGCCCGCGGGTCTGCGGCAGCTCCCCGTTCTTAGGCACGCACACTGGCCTTGTTTCCGAGCCTCCAGGCCGCCCCGGAGTCCCTGCAGCTCCTGAGGGCTCCAGCTCTGTGTTTTATTTCCAGGAGCCGCCTGCTGCGCGGTGACGCCAGGGACCCGATCGGTGGCCTCGTCCCATGGTGAGCAGCGGGGTCCCCCCTCCTTCCTGCCCATCCACCCAAGGTCGCAGGCCCTTGGCAATGGCTGCTAGACAGTTCTGACTCTTCTTCACCAGGGAGGAACGTGTGGCCCGGGCATGGGAGCTTCACCTCCTGGCGGGGCTTGGTCTTGGTCCAAGTCCCACACCCAGGGGGATGCTGGAGCATCCGGCCGCGTCTGGGCTCGGGAGAGATAAGGGCATTGGTGCTGAGGAGAGAGGAGGGCGTTGGTTCTCAAGCCAAACCGGAAACACTCAGTGAGACTCGAGCCGTGCTAAAAGGCTGGAAAGATGGCTGGAACTGGTCCCAGGGCTCCGTTGTCAGAGCAGCCGCGTCAGGGAAGGGCCACTGGGGACCATTCGACCGAGGAGGAAGTGATAAAGTGCTGGGGTTCCACAGCCACCGCCCCCCAGGAGCAGGAGCCAGAACCCAACTCCTTGGGGGTGACCAACTCACAACTGTCTTATGGGTCTCTAGTCACAGTGGGGAGAGGGGCTATGAAGACCAGAAGAGAGACCCCAGACGCTCCGTGTTCTGGGAGTGGGAGTAGATTGGGAAGGTCCGTTCCTGCTTTCGGGAGGCGGGGGGGACTCCAAGAAGCAAGATGCCAGAGCAAACAGTTGAGGGGAGTTCCTGCCCCAAGGGAATGTGACCCCACTCATCAGAGATGGAAGGAAGTGGAGCTTTGCCCTCACACCTGCATCTTAATCCTTGAGCAGTATCAGTGCTCACCTGACCACCTGCGCCACACTCATTGGCTGTTCATACCTGAGCTACAGAAACCACAGCTATCCATCCCCACAGTCTGCAACCCCTGGCTTTCTAGAATCGTCTCTGTGGACATGCACTTTCCCAGCTTCCTAGGTGGGCCTGAGCACAGCAAGGTTAAGAAGCATTGCCCCCGGGGGCTCGAGAGATGGTGTAGTGGGCTTGCCTTGCACACAGTTGACTCAAGTTCAACCCCTGGCACCACATATGGTCCCCTGACCCTGAGGAGTGATTCCTAAGCTCAGAGTCAGGAGTAAGCCCTGAGCACAGCTGGGTATGACCTCAAAAACAAGATAGCCCTTCCCCAAAGAAGCGGCAGCATTGCTTCCCCTAAACCCCACAGATCTCCCAGGGCCATGGAAAGTTCCAGACCTCATATTTAAGGTACTTTTGGGATCCAGGACTGCTCCAGACTCACTCTTGGTCTCTGGAAGTGATGCCAGTGGGCAACAGAGACCACTGGTTCTGGCTGTGCTCAAGGGGGCTGTAGCAGGAAACCAGAGTGTAGGTGGGGGGAGGGGTCCCTTCTCCTCACAGTGAGGTAACTGTTCAGAGGAGTCGTAGGCATCTGCCCCAAGCAGTGGCGTGAGGCAGACCCTGCCAGGGCTTCCTCGGCAGGCTTCTTGGCTTACAGACCAGTGAACACAGCGGGAGTGTATTGGTTAGGGCACATGCATGGGGCTTTACAGCTGGAGCTGACCCTGGGGGTGGTTTGGCTGCAAGATCAAAGCTGGGGTTGGAGAGCTGTGGGGAGGCTCTTGCAGACTTGCCAGAAAAACCCACTCCTTCCCCATTTTGGAGCAGGACATTTCCAGATGTCCTTCGAGCAGTTTATAATCGGGATGTGGGCTCATCTTTTCCCAGGGAGCTAAGCCAGCTGTTACCAAGGAGATGGGATAACAGCTGTACCCAGATGGTGTATATGTGGGGGTCTGGGGCACCGACCAAGAAGTCCGCCTGATCTGCCAGCCACATGATTTCTATTTTTTTTTTTAAACATATTTATTTATTTATTTGGCTTTTCGGGTCATACGCCGCAATGTTCAGGAGTTACTCCTGGCTCTGCGCTCAGGAATTACTCCTGGCGGTGCTCAGAGGACCATATGGGATGCCGGAGATCGAACCCAGGTCTGCCATGTGCAAATCAAATTGCTCTTGCCCCCACATGGAATTCTTTATGCAAAGAACTCCAGGCATCCAGAAGAGGGAGGATGTGGCCGTGACCCTGGGGTCACTGCCAGGGAGGTCCCCCTGGGAAGGTGGCCCGGTCATGAGCTCCGGGGACCGCACCGACAGCCCCTGCCTCCTGCCTGATCTCACCTGCCGTCTTCCGCCTCTCTCAGGACACCTGGGCTGAGCCTGCTCTTCACTTCCAGCGGCCGCTAACCTTGCTGGGGCTTCTCTTGCCCCTCGGTGGCTCTTTGTGGCCCTGGAAACCCCGTGTGACCTGCCCTCTCCCCTCCCTTCCCCCCCAGGACAAGCACGCGGAGGAGGTGCGGAAAAACAAGGAGCTGAAGGAAGAGGCCTCCAGGTAAAGCCGGAGGCCGACAGAAGTTTCCAGAACAGCCGGACAGCTCCAGCAGCTGCAGCTCCGAGGCTGCCTCGCCTCGCCCGCCGCCGCCGGCTGCTCACCCAGCACTGGGGTTTGGGGGGAGGGGGGGTGGCCAGGGGCGTTTCCTCTGCTTTTGGTGTTTGTACATGTAAAGAATTGAGCGGTGAAGCCATCCTGTTTGTTTCCGGGGAACAATGATGGGGTGGGAGAGGGGAGAGAAGGAGACTGGGGAAGGGAGACGGAGCAGGACTCAGGGACATTGAGATCCTTCCCGCCGTGGACTCTGCAGAGTCAGCGTCCAGGCGCCCTGAAGAGCCGCGTTCAACCTGGGCAACGATGCTTCCTGGTGAAGGGCAGAGCCCGGCAGGAACCTGGTGCCCAGCGTGGCCAAGGGAAGCCCAGCCAGGGGCTGAAGGGGCCAAGCTATGCTGCCACCTGGACTGGGCAGGCTGAGAGCTGAGCTGTCTGTGTGTTATCTGTCCACTCCTGATCATCACGACCAAGGAAATCTTTATCCCGTCTCCAGCGCCTTCTTTCTGGGACCTGTCCTTGGGAGCACTGACAGCATGTTCTAGAATTTGCCCGCCAGCCTTCAAAGCCTGGGTTTAATGCTCAGAGCAGTCACAGAGCTGGGCCATACGGGTCGACCCGCCCCACCCCTCCCCCCACCCCTCCCCCAGCTTTGGCATCTGCTTTGGCTTCTTCTTCCTTTTAAAGCAACTTGGTGGGTTGCCTCTTACTGAATTCAGTGCTCTGGATCAATGTCAAAGAAATCCAACCCTTCTAATATGGTCCCCCAGGAAAAGGAAGGACTTTTTCTCACTTTGGGAGTGTGGGCTTGTAAACGATCACAAAAAGTCAGCCAGGAGATTACACGCTAGTGACTAGCTGAGTTAGTTCTGTTTCTGTGTCTGGAACCCCGAGCCATGGCTGAGAAGGGGGTCCCCCTTCTTCCCAAGCTAAGTGAAGGGGAGCAGACTGAACGAACAGGGTCCGGGAATTTCTCCCACCTTGCCATGCACAAAGGGCCCTTTTCCGCAGCTTTGTAAATGCGTTGCTTGGTTTTGCTTTTCCTTTCTTGCCAGTGGCACTGCAGTTTAGAATCCTTTTCAGAGAGGAGAGAAGGCATCAGGGAAGACTGTGCCTATAAAGATGATGACGATCAACGAAGGCTAGCATGCAGGCATCACTGACTAGCTATTTGGCAATTTTCTGGGCACTTATTTCTGGGGTTTTGGGATTTATTTGCCGCACCCCCACTGTCTTCAAAGCATCTGTTCTAAGATTCCCCAGTCAATGCCCAGAATCATGGAGAGTATTGATCCCTATTTGTACTGTCTTTTCCTCTGCATTTTAATGAATTAGTTGTATTTAGGCACCGTGATTTACAAAGCTGTTAATAACAGAGTTTAAGGTATTTCATGTTCCAACTCCGTTTCCTCTACATTCTAAAAGTGATTCTCAAGTCCTTTAACTTATCAATTAGGCACAGCAAGAGCGCAAAAATACCTCTTAATAAACTAGAGTAATTGTAACAAGATCCTGAAATAAAAGTGATGTGAATGTGTCCTTTCTCTGTCTTTGTCTCTCTCTTCTTCAGACTCTCTTTTTGTGTTTGGTATTTGAGGGCTTCCCCTAATCAGCGGGAACAGAAACCCAGGAATACTTTGCACAACCTCAGCTGAGGGGGTTGGCTATATATATATGGAGAGAGAGAGGGTCTCACGTAATCCTTGCAACGAGCCTGCTGGTGAGGCCCTCTGCTTTCATTTGGAAGGCAAGAACGCAGAGGTCTGGTAGGAGAAGTATGCTGGTCCAGATTTGGAGTGGGCGGGATAGGAATGGGAGTTTCTGCAGCTTGTCCCAGCGTTCATGGTCAGAGCCACTACACGGGGCACTGGATTAGATGGTGACATGCACCCGTTCATGCCACCCAACTTCCCGCCTTTATTTAATGGAGGAAGGGCATGGACCATACCTAGTGGAGATCCCTAGCTGCTCCTGGTTCTGTGCTCAAAGATCACTCCTGGCAGTGTTTGGGGAACCACATGTGATTAGAATTGGAATAGAACTAGGGTCAGCAAGGCAAGCACCTGACCCCTTCTGCTATTTCTCTGGCCTCTTTCTTTCTTTCTTTCTTTCTTTCTTTCCTTCCTTCCTTCCTTCCTTCCTTCCTTCCTTCCTTCCTTTCTTTTTTTACGGAATGAATATAGACAACATCCGTGGAGATTTTCCTAGTTCCGTTCTAGACTCAAAGACTATAAAACCCAGCTCCCAGAAGAGAACAATGCAGAGTCTCCTGCCCCTGCGCCTGGCTGTCCTCACCAGGGCCCCTTGGAGGGGAGTGGGTTGAGTTTCCCTCCCCGCCCCGACCAGGACTCCAGCAGCCGAAGACCTCCAGAATGAGCCACCACCATGCTGAGACCACTCTCCACACGCATGAAGGTACCAGCAGAGGAATAAAGGCATGTGGGTCCCGGGGCTGAGATCTCCAAGCCTGCTTGGATCAGGGATGAGCATCCTCCACCCAGATCCTCCAAATTCCAGTAGGCGGGGGTCACACCCACCAACTGGGCCCCTGGCGCCGTGTAATCCCATCAGCGGCCAAGACTCAGAGACTATAAAACCCAGCTCCCAGAACCGCGCAGCAGCAGTTATTATGACATCTTATTATCCCATTCCTACTTTGGAAAAACTGGCAGGCTACCGAATGTAACCTGCCCACATGGCAGAGTCTGGCAAACTCCCCGTGGTGTACCCAATATGCCAAATACAAGTAACAATGATGGGTCTCATTCTCCTAACTCTAAAAGAGCCTTGAATATGGCACTTTTTAAAAAATCTCAGGGCTAGGACGAAGGAAACATTACTGGGGCCTGCTCGAGGCAATCAACGAATAACAGGATGGTCGTGATTGTGAGTTCTAGACCAATTAACTTAATAGGGCAATAAGGCGAATCAAATAACACTTGTTTTCCCAGAGAATCTAAGTTTTGGTTACACCACACTGCATTTAAATTGTGCACTAGTATGCTGTCTATAATTTGACATTCCTTAATGATAAATACTTCATTCCTGGAAGATTAAAAAAATGAAACAAATTATTCATCCAATGGTGTCTCTAGACTTGCTTGATGCAGAATTTCCCCCAAACTTTCAATTTGTGAATACATTAGTGTCTGTGAAGTTCAGTCAACCAAAATGAGGCAACTCTGAAGAAAGCAAAATATCAAAGTGTTCCCAAGCAATAGAAAGGCTTTCAGTGTTGTAGAAATTTTGCTTTAAATTTATATTAGGGGCTTTATGTATAATTTCACAGCATAAAAGCCCCCCAGCTCCCTTGCCCAGGCCACACTCTGGGATTACTTCTTGATCCCCAGAACTCTCACTCATGGATTCCCCTGAGAAGTTTGTCCTCTGCCCCTGCCCCAACCTCACCAGTACTACTGTACTCCTAGCTGCTTGGGGAACTAGGTAGTTATTTGTTTACTTCCTACCTCATCTATTAGACCGGAAGCTCCTTGAAACAGGAACTTGTCTCTCTCATTTTTGCCTCTGGCATAGGCTGTCCCAGAATTTCTTTGTAAAATGGGATTAGGGGTAGTACTCCTGTTGAAAGAATAGCTGGGAGTCTAGAGAGATAGTCCAGTGGCAGGGTGCCTGCTTTGTATGTGGCTGACCCGGATTGAACACGCTCCTTCTAGATCAGCATCCCACATGGTCCTCCTGAGCACCAACAAGAGTAATTATTGAGTGCAGAGGCAGGAGTTACCCCTGATCATTGCTGTGTGTGGCCCCAAACCAACAAATGTGATAAAACAAAACAAAAAAGACAGAAAGAACCATTGTGGCAGTCACCTGAAGATTCATTTGTTTAGCAATTTACCGAGGTACTGAATGTAAGACCAATGAAACACGACCAACTGCGCATGTGAGAATGGAAAGAGCCTGGGAGTGGCTGATACATGTAATGCAACAGAGCGTTTATGTGATTCATAAGTGATATAAAATATAGAAAAACTGGACAAGGGGAAGTAAGGCATAAAAGGAAGGATGCCTAGATTACCCTGGACCTGGACTAGAGAACTGAGAGAGGGAAGGAAAGAAACTGAAGGGGGAAAGAAAGAAGAGGAGGAGGAAGGTAAGAGGGGCAGGCGCAGGGAACTCGCACACACTAGTGGTGAAGAGTTGCTATTTAATTACTCATCAGAACCCAAAACAAAACTCAAAACATGAGATCCAAACTACAACAACCAAATGAAAAAACGTTCTTGTCTAGGAGGCAGGCTGGAGGGCGGGAGGGAAACTGGGGACATTGGTGGAGGAACTTGACACGAGGTAGAATTGGTTTTTGAAAACCATATACCTGATACTCACCTATGAATAACCTTGCCAATCATAATGCCTTGCTTAAAAAGAAAAAAATAAATTGAACAAAACACACGAAGGTGTTCCTCAGCAAGAGAGCATCTTGCTGGTATTGAAAAGCAACTTCCACACTGAAAGGATTCATGGACCAGTAGAATGAACACAGAACTGCAAAGGTGATGGTCCTTAAGAATTCAATTTATGGCAAACTCTCTATGAACATTTGTTAAATTGTGTATTTCTTTGCTTTGGGTGTTTGTTAGTGAACAGGACTGACCTGACCTTTTGAAATATCTCCTGAGATCGCTCTGGAACCTGGCTTTAGATATAAACCTTTTCTTAGAGTTTTAGGGGTCAGTTAGGATGACTATATGAGGCCCTGTATAATAAAGAACTAAAGCATAGGCAGTGCTTCTAAAGGCAGAAGGAAAGCCCGGCTGCTGACTCAGGGCAGAGGGCACCAGTGCAGAGGGCCTTTATGGAGTGAACCGCCACTGAGCTGAACCTTTAAGGATGAACAGACTTTGAGCAGACAGAGAGAAACGGCCTCTTGACCACCACACTGGAGTGCATTGGAAACCAAGAGCTTTGGCCAATAGCTGCAGTCACAGAAAGGAATGAATCCATCATTCTGAAATGTATGAAGAAAAGAACTCTGGGGATTGCTCTGAAGGGGGCATGGCAAGGTGAGCCATTGGGGCCAAGAGAGGGCAGAGCAAGAGAGAGACCTAGTTCAAAGCCAAGACCGTGGTTTTCAGTGGGGCAGGAAAACTCCCACCTGGGTCTGGCAAGTATATGGTAGCAATTTTCACTGCCTGTGGAGATGAAGTAAGTGTGGGGAGTGCCTAGAGATGGTCCCACATCAAACTCAGATGCTGCAGAGAAATTGAATGGCTGTCTACGGCTGATCTCTCAACCCAGAAGCTCATTTCGTTTCACAACCTCTCTCCCAGCCCTGGTCCAATTTAAACGCTCACATTTGTAAGAAAGACACTCCTAAACTTTGATGGTCTACATCTATGAGCCTTTGTTCATCTCACTTCTCTATTCTGTCTCTGGATCCCGAGCCCATTCCTCTCCATGCCCAATCATTCCTTGGTCCTGATTCTTTATTTTTTTTGGGGGGGGGCTCACACCTGGCAATACACAGGGGTTACTCCTGGCTCATGCACTCAGGAATTATTCCTGGAAGTGCTCAGGGACCATATGGGATGCTGAGAATTGAACCCGGGTTGGTCATGTGCAAGGCAAGTACCCTACCCGCTGGCTATTGCTCCAGCCCCTTGAGCCCGATTCTTTCACATTACTCAGTACTTTCTCATTGGCACAAGGCTGGTTTTGAACTGTACTGACAAAAGTTACAAGCAAAGAGTAAAAGACTTGGACTATTTTAAATAAAATGAAGGCTTATCCAGAGCCATCTAAATAGAAAAGAAAAAAAAAGGAATTCAACAAAAGCTAATATCCAATATTGTAAATTCAGAATGTTTATACCCAATGAAAAATTATCAAACAAGATGAAAAAAGATGATATTACAGATAACCAGCAGAAAAACCTGTGGGCTTTTGGAATATGGAAATGGATCCCTCAATCCCACTAATGGCTATCTACCCAAAACCCTGAAAACATGTACACCAAGATGACGGCCATTCCGATGGTCATGGTGGAGTTTCTTACAGAAGCAAAGATATGGGAGTGCCGACTGAGTGGTGACTGGAGAAAGAAGACATGGGAGTACTATGAAATGATGATAAAGATGAAAATTTATTATCACAAGGTGTGAGTTTAAGTGTGGGTGCATTCTGTGGCCAAGAACCACCTCCCCAGGTCGGCTGGCAGAAAGGTGAAAGAATGGAGCCACAGGCTGCTAGTAATCAGTGGCTGTTTATTCGAGTTTCAGTGTTATTTATGGAGAAATCAAGAAAGGTGGGGTTAGCAATTACATAGGTGTGGATGAACATTATCATAACAATGAACACATGTAAAGCCCCTCCTTCAGGGGAAGTTCTAGGAGATTAACTCAATGACAAAATCCCAACTGGGTGCTCACCACTCTAGATTCTTCCTAGGAGATCCACCTAAAGACAATATTCCATCCAAGGGTATTCCATCCAAGGGCACTCCATCCAAGGCCGTATTGCTTTCTCCTCTCCTTAATTAATTAATTAATTAATTTATTGAATCACCGTGAGATACAG